TGACCGAGTTCAAAACATCGATTCATGTTCAGATTAAAAACTTATTAATGCATAATTTCATCGAAACTTTAGTTGAATCAACAATCTGACATATTTCTTGTATTTCTTAATAAATTATGCAGATCGTTTTCGCTGGACAAAAAGAATAATTGAAAGCATTCATGTTTGCAACCGTGTTCAGAGATTTATTCCCATTGTTCTCTGCGATGAATACCATTCATGGCATATCTGGGAATGTCACTCCTAGGCAGTTTTCCGACTTGGCAATTTGTTCAATTTTGCGCAATAATAGCGACAGCAGTCTAATAACACATTCTCGTCTACAATCTTGCAGCAGTTGTACTCAAATGTTTATGACGTAAACTTGCCCAATTCCGGACCACTGCTACTTAAATTGCGTTGACTCCCGCTTATCTACAAGATTTTCATAACCCTATTACGGCTAGGGAAAGCATTCCTAATAAGGTTCAGCCATCCGCATGGACTGGAAGGTGAAGAACCAACCTCTGTATGTTCACAAAGCCGTAGCAGGGTGAAAGTGATTCTAAATTTAATCAAATGCATCCTATTTCTCTATTATTCTAAAAAGAATAGATGAATCGATTCACTGATCATACATGACCGGGTTTTCTCAGTCTGTTATAAATGGTGACTTCCGGTGGAATGCATCTAAAAGGAAAAGCCTAGTGTTTCCTCGTTCTCCTGACCGTTGCTCTCTTCAGATTAACGGAGAGGCAGTGGAGCAGGTGGAGAAGTTCAAGTACCTCGGAACTAGTGATGGAAAGTTGGAGGAAGAAATCGATCGGCGAACTGGAGTAGCCAGTGGCGTTCAGTGAATTAGCCCGATCGATTGTGACTAAAGCAGAACTCACTCTGGAAACTAAACTCTCGGTGTTCAAGTCGATCTTTATCCCCATGCTTAGCTACTGTCATGAGTCGTAACCATCACTGAAAAACTTCGAACCCGGGTTCAACTGCTGAAATGGGCTTTCTTAGACGAGTCGCTGGCCTTACGCGTCTCGACATGGTCCGGAATAGTGACATTCCTGAAATGGGCTTTCTTAGACGAGTCGCTGGCCTTACGCGTCTCGACATGGTCCGGAACAGTGACATCCGAAAGAGCATTGGTATACAGCCTTTGCTTCTCCAGATTGAGAAATGACAGCTACGATGCCTTGGGCATGTGTTTCGAATACCTCCAGAGAGGAAGGCTAAGCAATTGTTCCTTGCAAATCCGACCGGCAGAAGGCCCAGGGGACGGCCAAGATTTACCTGGTGCAAATATACGGGGTCTGTTCAAGACACCAGTTGTTTTCTGCCGAAGCTCGGACTCCGGCACAGGATCGGAAGCTCTGTCTGGCGCGTCTGCCTCCGCGACCCGAAAGGAGAAGCGGCGATGGAAGATGAAGATGAAGACTTCCGGTGGACAACCGGTTCTCGCCATCAGCCAGGAATGTCTGGAATGTTGCTACAGCAAATCACAGCGTGTTTGGAGGGCAGGTTTTTCTGTAGAATATTCCACAGCTGTTTAATGCCGCAGAAATTTTCCGACGGCACACACTGCTAATCTCCTTAAGCAAGTGGCTACCGTAGATGATAGGTCATCATGGAATTGCTCTGTTTCATGAACTGCTCTAATCCTCAT